GATTCAGAACTTAAAAGCTAAGCTTAAAGCAAAAACAGGCGTCAAACAAACAGGAAATCGTGAGGATCAATCTAAGCGATAGTGAAAAAATATTGGCAGATATCATGAGCGCTAAAGATAATCCAGCAGTAAACCTTCTAAAATGTGAGATTGTTGCTCGTTGTCCATATTTTTTATATTCGTTAGATGCACATATTATAGGTGGCGTAGCTATTGCTAATAAAACTATTGGTAAGTCGGGTGAAGAAGATTTCCAAAAAGAGATATTCGATGAAGCAAGCGTTTCTAATTCGCCTAAGGATTTTCCAACATCTTCACGTAAGCGCTCCTATATTCAATCATTCGATGCGAAAATACCGGAAAAGTTTCGTTGACATTGGTTTTTTTTCATAGAAACCTCTGCCTTGATCCTTTCCATATAAATATATTTCAAAGATTCTAGAAAGATTGGAAACTGATGAAACGAGAGGGTTGTTCAATGTGCTCCTGCATGGGCTTGTTCTATTGCGTCAATTACAAGTTTTCGCAAGAAAAGAAGAGCTCATGGAAGAACAGCTGAAGGTAGCAAAAGCTTCGAACGCAGAAACACGCTAAGGGCCATTTTCTCATGTAGCCTTTAAATTTAAAGCACACTTTATATATAAAAATTGCTTTAAAATGTATAGTTGTGTCTAAAGTTAAGTATTTTATTAGGGGTTTTAAATTGATTTACAACCAAGAAACATGCATACGTCAAAAACCGATAATACAAATGCTTAAAACCAGGCTTTTTTAGATACTTCGCTACATTGTGTAAAACGAAGCATGCAGCTATGATTGTAGGTATGCGATTAGTTGATATTCGAATTTTCGACTGCAAAATTGGAAATCGCTTTTTCACTTGACCGAATACTCGCTCAATTATAACCCGATCTTTGCAATAAAGCTTGCTATACTCTATTTGCGAAGAGCTCGTGGTATTACGATATGGGGTCATCAGCGATGGGGTAATGGCATAGCCCTCATCGCCCAGGATTTTCATCTTAAAAGTTCACGAACTATGGAATTTTTCCAAACTCTCGAGTCGTGAACGGATCCTGCTTATCTGCAATCAAAGCTAGTTATCTTCTCATTCGCATTACATTAAACGATGCTAATCCCTTTCTGTTAATGAATTCGTCCCCATGGATACTTGGCTTTAATATTAGTACATGAGTGCAATCCAATGCTCCGATTGCATTTGGAAACTATTATCCCTATTCTGCAAGTCTTTCGTATTCGGATTTTGCTACGAATCGTAGAAATAGTATGCTGCAATCCGAATCGTATTTTCTAACTTTCGAAATTCGTAACAATGGCATGCCTAAAAACGAACGAGCAAGCTTTTTTGCGTTATTTTGTACGAAAATAATTCTGTGTCGGAGGCGAAATAAAATATGTAAATAGATGTGTGTTTGCAAGAAATATTGGTGGTGTTCATTTAAACAGATAAATTTGCCTTTCGCATATACGTATATTTTTATCCACTGCTTTATATAAACGAGCTAAAAAAAAGAATATTTGTTGCCCCTTATCGAGAAACTTGGGTCCGGTTTAGTTAATGTACAACGATTTTCGGTTGTTGTGTCCAAACCAGAGCTGTTAAGTAATGATTATAAATTGTAATGATTACCGATTTAATAAATTTTTTTTTTTTTCAATCTGCTAAATGATTAATTACCATTATTTCCACTTTTAAATTAATAATTACCGATTACCATTAAAAGTAATCAAAAAATAATCGTATTTTTAGCCAATTGGAAGCAAAAAATTAAAAATAATCAAAAAAACGAATGCGATTATTTTTACAGTAAATTTAATTTTTTTTTGATTATTTTTGATTATCTATAATTATGTAAATTATATTCTGTGAACATAATTATTCTTTCTTCTTTTAATACAACTTAAACAAACTGCAAGAAACGATAATAATAATAGATTGGCTCTTACACATATGTTAGTGTTTGGCCGAGCTTCTCCCCCGATTTGTGGCGTGCGCCTTGATGTTGTCACACAAAGCGGAGGGACCTACAGTTTTACGCCGACTCCGAACGGCGATTGTATTTTTATGAGAAGCTGTTTTTCATGGCAGAAATACACTCGGAGGTTTGCTATTGCCTGCCGAGGGACGACCGCTGTAAAGAAAAAACCTTTTTTCTATATTTTTTTCGATGTTGCTTTGACCAGGGCTTGAACCCAGGCGTTGCGGAGTGGAATCGCGCACTGCTTACCACTACACCCCAGCGGCCGACGAACGAACTCGAAACATCTCTTCGCATGCCCGGAAAACCCGACAACCCTAACGGCTTTGTCCTTGTGGACCGACCCAATAGAAGCTGCACGCTTCCTAGGGCTGCCGTTAGTGGAACTTGACGACAACGACTGAGATATCAACCGATCTGGGCGGGGTTGTTGTAGCCGCTACAACAACAACAACAACACGAAACGAACGATAATATTATAACAAAACACATAATACATATATAGATATTATCTACATAATATCTTACGTAATAACGTCTACTTATACAAACAAAAATTAAACAAACATATTCATTGGAATTATAAATTAGCATTCGCTTTTAATAATACCAAGTTTTCGAAAGAAAAGTCGGTTAAGGAATGGCGCCTGGGTGTATTTATAATTCCCGCAAAAGAAAAAAGCCTTTCGACAGGGCCTGATGATGTTAATGGAGTATTGAATAGTATGGCAGCTTCTTTTAATAATTCATAGTTTTTCCAGACTTCTACTCCCGTCTTTGAATCGCTTATATAACTGTAAAGTTGACTTTGAATAAGATTCCTTATATCATTTTTATTAGGAGAAACTTGCTCAATACTCGAATCATCTTCATCATCTGAAATACAAAAACAATTTTGCATTAAACACAACTACATATGTATGTTCAAGGAATTCATTTACCATCATCATCGAAATTAAAAAATTTAGATCGTTTTGATATAACTTTACTTTTAGGATTATCAATCTTAAAAGAAAGTCTTTGATTTTGTGTACATAAAAAAATTGTTTCAGCTACCCGTTTAAAGATATGATGAATTTCATATTGTAATTGGAATAAATTACGTGCTAGTAATGTTTTTTTTTTTCCAATTCCTTTGAAATGAATTGAAAATGTAATTGATTTTTTTTCAATTCCATTACCTGGAATTGCAAGAGTACTTTAGTTTTTCCAATTACTCAAAGGAATTGTAAAAGTAATCGAGAAACTGAAAGTTCATTCACGAATATACAATGTGGAATTTTTGTTGTGGTCAAAGATTAAAATCGAAAGCACACATTGGACATCTTCTATGTATATCTATATATATATATAAAAATGTTGTGTTCGTATGTCACGGTCATCAAAACCCGAGAACGGCTGAACCGATTTGAATAATATTTTTTTTATTATTCGGTATAATACCAGAACCAATGATATCGCAAAAATTTGGTGGGTTTCCACCTATTTTAAAATTTAATTCATTTAAAATCAATGAATTATTACAATATGGGTATTAAGTTAAAGAGGTTTAAGAAAGATAGCTGCTGGAAGTATTTTTGACGAGGGTGGCCTCCTATTTGAAAATTTAAACTCAGTCAAATTGTTAAAAAAAAATAAATATTGCCATGTGGGTGTCAAACTAAAGAGTTTTAAGAAGGCTTACTGCCGAAAATATGTTTGAGGAGGGTTGTCATCTGTTTGAAAATTTAACTAAATTACATTGATAAAATAAATAAAATATTACAATATGGGTATCAAATTAAAAAGGTTTGAGAAAGATA